GGAAGGAGTACAGCAGGGAGATATTTTTCATAAGATGGCATGAGGCAAAGGGAGAGAGAAAGACATATTTTGGAGGTCCCGAGTTGGGAGAGAAGAGCAGATGGGAAAAAAGGCTCCAAGAGAAGGATAGGGTTGCTGGGGGCCTGCTTTTTTCTCCATTCAACAGTTCCATATTGAGGATATTTCTGAAGACAAGAAGTGACACTGGATGACTTAGTCTTTGATGTCTTTGCTTATCCATAAGCTTGTACTATGTGTTGTGTGGCCTTCGGAGCACGTGCTCCACTACTTGCTGCTTCTGGGGAAACCACACGGCCATCCACCTGCCCACATACCAGCTCATGTGTGTACGATTCTTCTACAAGGCCCTCTCTGAGTGTTGTGGTATTGTGACAAAAGGAGCAGCCTGAATTCACCTCCAGATGCAAATATTCAGTCCTCACTCTGACATCCTGTGCAATTTAATTTTCTTCTCTATCACCAACCCCGGAAACAACCCAAGGGATTACTTTGCAGGCCAAGCCCACCATGCTGCCAGGCTCCACCACTCCTGAAGACATTCCTTTTTATGACTTTTATTCCAAATGATAAACAGATCTCTGGCTACATACATGGCTCTGTTACTATTGTCTTCTCTCCCCTCTTGGCTAGTGAATAAGGCCATTTCTCAGTGGTGTTTTTGGGGTGTTGTGTTATAAGGACTGAATTATGGAGCATAGTTCCTTTCCCCATTCACAGTATTTGTTACTAAACTCAGGTGAGTCCTTGGAGCCCGGGTAGGAAGCACCAGGAATCTGTCTTCCCACCCAGACAAAGATTACATTGGCAGAAAAAGGTAACCTACAGAATAGGAGAACATATGTGCAAATCATATCCGATAAGAGGTCAATGTTCAGAATATACAGAGAACTACTAAAACTCAACATTAAAAGAATAAACAACATGATTCAAAAATGGGCAAAGAACTTGAATACATTTCTCCAAAGAAGAGATATAAATGGCCAATAAGCCCAGGAAAAGATGTTCAGCATCACTGATCATTATGGAAAGGCACATCGAAACTACCATGAGATAGTGCTTCCCGCCCATTAGGTTGGCTACTATCAAAGAAAGAGAAAATAGCAAGTGTTGGTGAGTATCTGAAGAAATTAAAACCCTGTGTGTTGTTGGTGGGATTGTGAAATGGTATAGTCACCATGGAAAATAAAAGGGCAGTTTCTCAAAGAATTAAGCATAAAATTACATATGATCTAGCACAGCCTCATCTGGGTACGTACCCCAAAGAATTGAAAGCAGGGTTTTGAAGAGATTCTTGGACGCCCATGTTTGTATAAGTATTATTCAAAGTAGCTAAAATGTGGAAGCAACCCCAGTGTCCATCAACCTAAGAAAGGATAAGGAGAATGTGGTATATGCGTACAATGGAGTATCATTCAACCTTAAAAAGGAAGAAAATTCTGAAATATGCACAACACGGATGAATCCTGAGGACGGGAGGTATTATGGCAACTGCCAGGGGCTGAGGGACATTGGGGTGGGGAGTTAGTGTTTAATGGGCGCAGAGTTTCAGTTTTACAAGACGGATGACAAGGATGGATGGCACAAGGGCTACACAATATAAAAGTAGCTCAAGCCCCTGAGCTGTACACTTAAAAGTGACAAATTTTATTTTATGTGTATTTTACCAAAAGAAAACACTGTGGAAAAAGAAATAGTAGGAGCAGACTTAGAACCTGCTGCGGCATGGAAATTTGGGGCAGAATGGAATTTATCTACTGCCTCTAGATGTTGCACGAAAACCAGAGCCAGAACCGAGTAACGGCAAGGCTTAGGGAGCAGTTGCAAAAGGCTTTAAGATGACCTTGGCAACGACCTCCAGTCAGGAGAGTCTGAGGGGCGCTGCCCAGGGAGAGGACGCCACAGCATCCTCTTCCACAGCGAAAGACCCGAACACGCTGGAGCGGAAAGCAGCTTCTGTAGAATAAGTCGTGGAGTCTGGACCTCCGGACCCGGCACAGGTGTGAGTCGGAGTGTCCAGGTGAGTGGGCTCTTGCGACAAGCTTCACCCACGTTGTGATCCGAAAACGTTTCTGAGTCACAGAGAGATGAAGCCGGTGTTGCCGCAGGGACGCCGCCGTCCCCGGCAGCCGGAGCGGGGCAGGCGACCGTCACTGCGCCAGGGACAGGTGGGCACAGCCCTGATCACAGGCCGACGGCGCAGCGCGGAGCCGCTCCCGCAGCCGTGGCGGGTGGGACTCTCCGGAGAGGGTTTCCTGTCGCGCAGGCTCTCCGGGGACGTTGCCGCAGCGCGCGGAGAGTGGGTTTCCGCGCCTCCTCGCTTCGCGCCGGGTGGACCTTTGCAACTGCCCAACTGAGTGGCTCGGCAGAAGGATGCTCCGTGGCCTCCGAGGCCCGGTCGTGAAGATGCTGCGCGTTTCCGCCTCGTCCTTTTGAGCTCCCCGACCGTCCGCCGCCATCCGAGGCCGCTTCGCAGCTAGCGCGGACGGCAGCCCCAGGCTCCAGCCCCGGCTGAGCCACGAAGCACGGGGCAGCAGCAGGTGGCCGCGAGGGCGCCGCCCGAAGGCTCTCGTCCAGCCCGAGGTGAGCCGCCCCGTCCCACACGCAAGAGCAGAGACGGGGCTTGTGCCCGAGTTGTCGACCTTTGAGTCGAAGGAATGACTGTAGCTCTTTGAGCCACGAAGCAGCCACAGGTAAGTCTGGAGCAGGACCCACGGATAATCTTTCCGTTCCCTGGAAGGTGAGATGAATTCTCTTCGGCTGTTCTTTGCTTTGAAAATTTGTAAATCATGGGGCGCCTGGGTGGCTCAGTGGGTTAAAGCCTCTGCCTTCAGCTCGGGTCATGATCTCAGGGTCCTGGGATCGAGTCCCGCATCGGGCTCTCTGCTCCGCGGGGAGCCTGCTTCCTCCTCTCTCTCTGCCTGCCTCTCTGCCTACTTGTGATTTCTCTCTGTCAAATAAATAAATAAAATCTTTAAAAAAAAAAAAAAAGAAAAGAAAATTTGTAAATCACCTGCACGTCTCCCCTTCCAGCCCCACCTTCCTCACAGGAGTCGCTGCTTCTTGGCTCTAGCAATTGACCTTTAGCTTGTGGTAGCATTTAAGGAGGGTTTGATTTAATTAAGGCAAGTAGCCTGGTACGAGGAAACCGTGGGCATTTCCTATGCCCAGGAGAAACATGATGTCGAGAGCGGGAGAATGAGTCTAAATAATAAAACTTTTCAGTTAGATCAAAGATTATAAGAAAAGTCCTATTTGCCATGCATTTTATGGGCAAATATGCATAAAATATGTTGTGATTTTTAAATAAGCGATCTGGAAAACATTTTTTGTTTTTTATGTAACAGCAGAATTTCACCGCCGTCCTGCACCTTTGGAGGTGTGGTTCCTGGACTGGAAAGCTGAGGTAGGACTAAACTGCTCTGCATAGGAAAGGCCTGTGGACCGGCCCCATGTTCACTGCAGCGTTATTCGCGTGGCTGACATGGAAACAGTCTAAGTGTCCATCAAAGGACGGATGGATGAGGAAGATGTGGTGTATATACACCATGGAACGTTCCCCAGCCATTAAAAAAGAAGGCAGTTCGGGGCACCTGGGTGGCTCAGTGGGTTAAGCCACTGCCTTCGGCTCAGGTCATGATCTCAGGGTCCTGGGATCGGGCCCCACATCGGGCTCCCTGCTCAGCGGGGAGCCTGCTTCCCCCTGCCTCTCTGCCTACTTGTGATCTCTCTCTCTTTCTCTCTCTCTGTCAAATAAATAAGTAAAATCTTTAAAAAAAAAAAAAAAAGAAGGCAGTTCTGTTATTTGGGACGGGAATGGATAGACCTTGAAGGGATTAAGCTAAGTGAAAGAAGTCAGACTGTAAAAGACAAACACTGCATGGTGTTGCTTCTGTGGAAATCTAAGATAAAGAAATGGACTACCTGAACTCATAGACAGATGGATTGTGGGTTGACAGAGGTGGGCATGGTGGGGTAGGTGAAACGGTGAAGGGAGCCGAAGGTCCAAACTTCCAGTTATAAAATAAATATGTTATGGGGATGTAGTGTACAGCATGGTAGAATACATTGTAAAGTATTATATATCGGAAAGTTGGGAAGAGAGTAATCTTAAAACTTCTCAACACGAGAAAAAATTATAACTATGTTCAGGGATAGTTAAACTTATTGTGGTGATCATTTTCCAATATGTACATGGGTCGTATCATAATATTGTACACCTATAACTCAATTATATCTCAATATTTGAAAATGCCACATTAATCTTGGTGCAGGGAAGGAGGGGGAGTGGAGAAAGAAAGGTATGTGGAGCTCCTGTGGCTGGCTCGCTGCAGATGGCTTTAGGGAGGATGGAAATGTCTAATGCCAATTTCAGTTAGAAGTCTTGCTGTGTGGCTTACGACAGAAATCCTCTCTTTCGTCCATAGAATCTATAGTAAACTCCGCATCGCTCAGCCAGTACTCCTCGAGTGGATTTATTTCAGCCTTGAGTGGGACTATAAGGAGTGCCAAAGGTCATCCTGGCTCCCAAAGGGAGGCCCAAGGTAGGTCAAAGTACCACACTTTTGGGAGTGAGGGAATGCCCAGAGTGATTCCTTGCCTACCAGTGGTGGGAAAGTCTAAAATTAGAAAAGTCTTGACAACATTTAAAACACTTTTTATTCTGGACATTTCCAAACATATATAAAGATAGAAAAGTGGAATCATCTTTATGTGTCAATCATCCTTCAAAAAAAAAAAAAACCTTTCAAAATTAAAAAAAAAAGATTCTCCATGTACCCATCATTCAGCTTTAATATTTTGACAAATTTGGGTTCATTTTTTAAAAGTTATATTATAGTTTTTCATAAAGCTGTATCCAAAGACACTGATGAGTCATTGAACACTATATCTGAAGCTGATGATGTACTATATGTTGGCTCATGGAATTTAAGTAAAAAAATAAAGACACAAGAAATGTTGAGGATATTAATTTTTTATTAGCAGTCATTTTAGAGAACAGCACTGGAAATTTATTTCTTTTGAAATAAACTAGAAATTAAAAGTGTCTTGAAGCCATTGGAAACCATATGATTGGTTGAATTAGTTTCTAAAATGTGTGGTGAGATAGCACTCAACAGGTGCAGTATGTGATTCTAGCATTTCTTTCACCACATTGGGAATGTGACCTGTAGAAACCAAAAGAAAAAAGGAGAGAGTAAATGAATGAACAAATTAGGATTTATCAGTTTCATCTGTCTTCACATTATCTTGTTCTAAGTATCAAAACTTTCCGTTCCACCCATCCCCTACCACCATGTTTTGGCATATTTTGAGATCTATATCAAATCATGGCCCCTGGTTCAGTATAATCCATTAGAAAGAGTCACAATCACCAGTTAAGATTCAGACGAGTCTCCTAGGTTAGGGCCTCATTATGCTTCCTTGCTTGAACGTTGCACTGATCTATTCTCCCACAATATTTGTTAAGTGCCTGCTAGGTATCAAGCATTGTTGCTAGGTGGTTGAGGGAAACAATGGAGCACTCTGTAGATTGCCAGAGTCAACTTCTGTTGTCAAATGTCAATGGATCATCAACCACGTCAAGGTAAGGGTATCCAAAAGGCAGAGAGCACCAAACAGTCTTTTTCATTGACTGTACCGGTACTGTCACATCCTCCTTCCCTCAGGACTACTTAGACATCAAATTCTGAGTCAAGTTGTTAATATAGGACTTTTAACAAATGTCACTGCTTGAAAAGAGAGACAACAGCCAATTCTCTGGAGGTAGAATATAAGGAGGAAAAAGAATAATAAGAAAACTCCCTATCATGACTCTGCCTGCAACCGAGTAAAGCATGTTAGTCATTCCAGGAAGCCATTGAAACAGTCAGAAGACAAATGCTAGGATACAAAAATGCAACATGAGACGAACTAATATGTTTGTGAAGAAGACAACATTTTGTGGGGTATGTGGCAAAGAAATAACTAGGAAAGAGAGAGATTGGGCCAGTGACAACTTACACTCATGAATGTTGCACTTTGATCAAACATTCACAAAGACCTCTGGGTGGGAAAGGATTGTATAGATAATAGTCATTCCCGGGGAAAACTAAGCTTTGATTGCGAATTCCACGGGGACTGGCAATAAGAGATCAAAAGATAGGACACGTAAACTATTACCCACCTGTTTGAGAGAAAGAGCTGCTCAGAAGATGAAAAATGTGACTAGGGGAGCTGGGAAACAGGGAAATGAGCAGCTACCCAACTCTGACAACACTGAAACCAAAACGTCAGTAACTTCTCCTCATAGTGGGGGCTTTGGGAATTTTGGATAACTGGGTGAAATATCCACCCTGAATTTATAGAAACTAAAGTAGCTTTCCGTAGCTTTGGAGGAGGGATTCTTATACTAATATTCTGGTGTTGCCAAGAACACAGAAATAGGCACATTACACAGTCACACTTACTATAACAGCTCATCTGGTTAGTGTGGTAGTAGCACACCTAGGAACTAGACTTGGGGAAATGAATGGTAACACGCACACCTCAGCTACCTCAAATCATGCTCTTGTGAAGATATGCATGGGTGACACGGGACCTGTTCACTGGTATGTCACACGGCAGACAACCCAACGAACCTCGGAATTCTCTCCTATCCTTCCAGGTTTCGCACTCTCAGCCTATGGATGCTGACTACCAACTGTTGGTGTCCTCTGGCAATTAAAAATCCTTTGTCCTCCATTTTGTAAGCGATAGTTCATGTATTTGTGAGAGTGGACCAAGGAAATAAAGGATGTTATTGAGCGTTTGTTTTGATACAACTAAATCAAAGAATTTCCAACAACTTACCAAGCACCTTTTAGAAAGCATTCATTGCTTTTCTTTTTCCAATATCTCGCTTGAGCTGACAAAGGGTGCACAGAGGAAAACATCCCAGGCATAGGAAATCACCACAAATAGATCCCTGATAAAAAACAAACAGCGGGTCCACACATAGGCTATGAATAGAGTCACGCAAGTCCTTGCATTCGCATAGCTTTTCAAAACTCCTTAAAAGGTACATTTTATGTTACTGGTTTAGCATGAGGATTTTCATTATCTCCATTTTTCTGATGACCCACCTGAAGGTAAATGACTTGTTCAGATCACATAACAAATTGGTAGCGGCCCTTGGTCTTTCTTTTCTGAAGCCTGTGCCCTTAACCATATATGACACGATTTCAGCTGATCTGCAGGGTATGACTACAGCCCTCATCCTCTAACATCAATTCTGAGATGGCTTCCCTTTAAAGCCAGTCATAAAATGCACCAATTTTTCTGTAGTTTGTGAGCAGAGCCAGATGGGGCCCCACATTGTATCCCTCTTGCCGTTTTCATTGACATCTCTCAAGTTCTGCAATGGAAGAAGTTTGGAGCAAAGGGGAGATACACAAATTATGGGGGAAGGAAGAAAGAAGAGGAAGAATTTGTTTGGAAAGCCGTGGGATGAGGAACTTTGCAAGGATTTGAGGGCCCTCTCGATGGAAGTGTCCAACCGGGTCCTCAATGACCTTCCGGGTGACGTGCCCTTGAAGGGATTCCTGTTCTGGTGCAGGAGGCACTGAGTGAACCGGGGAGTTCTAGTCCGATAACCCGGTTTTATTACTGCGTGTCCTGACAGACTGAAAGAATTTTGAATCCATTATTTGATAGCACTTATATTCTTAAGGTTTGAGTTTAATATAATTCCCAATTTATAGTGTGAGCTCGTGGGGTGGGGTGAGGGGTGGCAGTGTGTACGTAGGAGCTTCTAAATGGTGAGACTATGAGTGATTTATTTTTCATGAAAAGAAATTTTTCCTGTTGCTACAGTGCTTTGATCGTCATCTAACAGTGTAAGCATTTGGGGCAAAGAGCCAACCTGTCTATAAAAGGAGGTAACACTTCCCACACCACAAGAGTTTGCAGGCAGTACATGAGCAACTACCTGTCAGCATGATATTCAGCTCACGGTAGTACAACCAGTGGTTATCTCTTTTCTTCCTCCTTCTCTCCTGCACAGGTTGTGCCCTGGCAAAGGTATGCTCTCCTGGCTGTATCCACAAAGGAAGGGGCAGATCAGAGAGGTGTACTGTCGCAGCCCCACAAAGATTTGCATAGATATGAAAGGGAAACAAAGCAGAGAGCCTGAACGATATAAACCAGTCCTGGGAATTATTTTTAGGTCTGTTCAAAGGAGGAAATAGAGATACACTGTCTATAAATACTCCGCTTCATTGTATGTTGAGGAAACCTACTATAGCTAGAATCCTAGACCTAGAAATCACCTTGCACAACTTCCTCATGACAGATGAGAAAACTGATGCCACCACGTGATTTATCAGAGAACATGCCGAGCTGTTCCCAAAGCCTCATCTCCAGGATCCAGCTAAGGACCCCTTCCTACATACCGTGTCGGGGTCTTGGGCTGCGTTGAGAACGTTACCATCACATCATGTACGGAAGTGCACATGCGTGACACCTTGCACACGATTCAGGAAGTCCCAGTCCAGGCACAGAGTTAAGAGCCCATGTGTGTTGTGCTACGTTAGGGTTAGCATGAATGAGGGCAGCCTTGAGTGCTGCGACATCAGGGACCTGAGCAAGCACGCAGGAGAAATGAGGCCAGGGCCCTGCACACACCTCTTCCCTGAGGAATAGCTGAGCAATTCTCAGAGAAAAGAACAAAAAGAGAAGTTGTTGTTTACTGAGCACGTATTACTTGCCAGGTCCTGTGTTAAGCCCTTTCTGTACATTATCTCCCATGACTCTTGCTACGCCATTAAAGGGGAGGATCGGTGTGACCATTTATCAATGAGGGGGTTGAGGCTTAGGGAGATGAGCAACTTGCTCCCGGTCCAGTGGGAGCAGTGAGTGGGGCAGAGGCTACATTTCTAGGAACAGAATCCATCACATCACCTGTTTGTTTAAACCGTTTTCAGTGACTTCCCTGCTCACTCGGAGTAAAGCTCAGGTTCTTACAATGGTTCTCAAGCCCTAGAGTTTCTAAATCTTGCTCTAATATCATCTTTTTCTATGAGATCCTGCCCCCACCCTCTCACTCATTCTATTCCAGCTTCTCTGGCCCTTTCCAGTTTCTGGAACTTTCCAGATAAACTCTACTTTAAAGCCTTGGGTGATACTCTTTTTTCTGCCCAGCTCTTCCCCCGATGGGTAACTTCTTTCTCATCCTTTCACTTTTGTAAGAAAGCCTTCCCTCATCGCCCTATTTAACATTAGAACTCCCTTTCTAAAAATGTGGATGGACATTGAATTTTGTTGACTGTTTTTCCTGCATCAGCTGAAATGATGATAATGGTTTTTCTTTTTGAATCTGTAACTAGAGTATTCCGATACTGAGCCATCTTTGCATTCCTGGGATAAACCTCGCTTGGATAAAAATAAATTTTGTAATGCTGAAAAAAATAAAATAAAATTAGAATGCTTCAACATTCTTTATTCCTCTTCTTTGTTTAATTTTTTTCTGTGCCACTTATTAGCATCCTATAAGGTTTTTACTGAGTCACAGTGTAGCAGTCTTCTCCCATTAGAGCGTGAGCTCTGCCATGGACAGCCATCATAGTAATCAGTGATTCAGGCGAGAAGCTTCAGCGGACGTTAGTCCCAGTGGCTGAAGGGCTATGAGGAACAGGGTGCTCACGTCTCTCTACCAGGTCCTTACTCATTACGAAGGGGAAAATGGCAACCTTAGGTGGAGAACTTCACCAGAAGGTGGAGAACCTTACGGCAGACACTACCTTAACTAAGTAATCAAAGGAAACAACAACCATAATGGGATACAGTGATGTCGTGTGCGTCTTGATAAGAAGCACAGTGACTATTACATTAGTTCTGTGGAGGTTCTGTCAAAGTGTAAACCCTAAATATATCCACGAGGACACATTTGACACACCAAATTGAGGGACAGTCTACAAAATAAATGGTCTGCATTTTGGGGGGAAAAAGGCAAGGAAAGACTGAGAAACTATTCCCTATTGTAGGAGACTAAAGAGGAATGACAATTGAACAGAGTTTGTGGTTTCGGATTGGTTTTCTTCTCATCCACAGAATGTTGTTGGGTTATTTGGTAAAGTTTAAATAAGACCCACAAATTAGCGAATAGTACCATATCCGTGTTAAATTCCTGATTTCAGTCATTGCATTATAGTTACAGAAATGAAGGCCCTTGTCACCAAGAAACGCGTGATGCCATAGAGATGCCATAGGATGTCAAGTCTGTCATCCTGTCGATGTTCCCGAAAAGAGACTAGACAAAGAGGTGGAGGAGAGCAAATGAAAGGAAGGGGCAGGATTTCAGTATTTGGGGCGTGTGGGTGCAGGGTGTTCAGGAATTCCTTGTATCTTTTCTCCTTTTTTTTCCCATTTATGATTTCTGCAGCTTCTCTTCAAGTTTGAAACTAAGTTAAAATAGAGGTCTGAAAAAATAAGAAGAAACAGGATGTAAGCCACATGCACTGAGGTGCCTCTAGCATCTGGAAAGTACTGGGCGTGTTCCATGCACAGGACACATCTCTGTTGAAGGAGTGAGCACTGGCTTATGAGCCAGATGTGCTGGCTTGCAAGGGATCTACCGCAGGCGCATTTCTCCCCCTGGCTTCCTAACACACCGTCATCCGGCCTACAGATCTGCAGGGTCCTGGGTCTGACTGAGTAAAGTGGGGAGAGGGTGAAGGCTCTCCACCCCTCACCTACTCACCTGCAGCCACCGTTTCAGGGACGCATCTACGGGAACATAAGATTTTATTACAAACGTTCCCTGGTATGAACAGCAGCGCGGTCCCCGTCCATCATTTAAAAAATTTAGGATGGGTGTGGAGCAAAGATTAGGGTCAAGCCCAGGAGGCGAGGAGGGCAGTTGCGCAGCTGCGGTCCTCCTGCAGGGAGCCCTCGGGTGTGGCTCGTGTGGCAGGGCGCGGGGACTCACCGGGATGCCGTAGCGCGTCCTGTACAAGGTCCTCATAGCCACGCTGGCCCCGCACAGGCAGCACTCGTCCATGTCGGAGGCGATCTGACACGAGAGGCACAGGGGGAAGAAAGTGCCGCAGAGGCCTGCGTGCAAGGGGAAGCCACAAAGAGGAGTTAGTGAGAGTCGTCTCGCTGGCAACAAAATCATGTCTTTCCAAAAGATGCTGGCACCAGAGACGGCTGTAATGGGCCCCAGAGAAAGCAGTGTTTGTTATCTGGCTTTTTCTGCCTGGCTTCTGGAGCCTCCGTCCGGCATCTGGGGGTAACTCGTGAGTCACTGTACTGGGTCCAATTTAACTGCAGAAGCTCCTGCCTTGCCATTCGGAGTACGTTCGCATGATCCTTCTTCCCTGCCTTGTGACGTCGGGTCCCGCCTGGGGAGGAAATCTGTGGTGTCAGGATGTCTGAGAAGCCCTCTAAAGCCATGGGGGGGGGGTGTTGAGGGTCAAAACACTGAGTGAACAAATCATTAGGGACAATGAGTGGAAATAGATTCTAGAAGGTCGTTCGGGCAAAAGGACCCCATCATTGTTAGGAGGATGGACGTGCGCAGAAAGGACTGGATTTTGCTCTCAGCTGTTTACAGACCTGAGTGCAGCTCCGCTTTAGAGATGCTCTGCAAGGCCCAGAAAGGGCTCAAGAGAGTGATAACAAACAGGAAACTTTTCTCAGATACGCTTTGAGTGAAAGTCTATTTTGAAAAGTGCCGGGGTGGAGTTGTGGTGTGCGGTACCCTAGATGCGATGAGAGAGTCAGCGGTTCTTTGATGACTGTTTTTAAGCAAAAGGCCAAAGATCTGGGAACTTCTACCACTCACGGAAAAAGGAGGCTGTTCCTCACGCCTGAGGTCAGGAGGAGCCCCACAGAGAATGTCTGCAACCCGATGGCTCCGAAAAAAGTCTTCTCACTCCAAAGTGTGTTTTGTGGTGGGAAAGAAGAAGTCAGTAAAGCTAAAAGCCTGTGGTGCTTTCTGAAATGGAACAGTGACAAGAGTCGGCAAGAATGGCCTTGAGAGCCGGAGCGCACGGAGCAGCATCGTCAGAGAAGGGAGAGGGAAGCAGAAGACGGAGCAAAGCATCAAGAGTGCAGTGAGCCCAAGAGCTGAAAAATGGCAGACAGCGAAGGATCTCGACAAGAGTCACCGACTCAAGGTCATGCAGGTAAAGTGAGTGGAACAGACCGGAAAAACCCCACAGAATAGCCAATAGCGGGAATAAACACAGCCAACTATAGAGTGAGACTCTCTTTTAATGGGATTGGCTCATGTTAAGAAGCAGCCGAACTCTGCCCTGTGTGATGAAGGCTCATCTTGCCAAATTTTCCAATTTTTGAGAGAAGTTGGAAATCTAGATTGGAAAGCCAGATCTTTTTGTGTGTGTGAAATCTGTTTTTGATGTGTTTCCTGGTATTTTTTTTTTTAAAGATTTTATTTATTTATTTGACAGAGGGAGAGAGATCACAAGTAGGCAGAGCAGCAGGCAGAGAGAGAGAGGAAGAAGCAGGCTCCCTGCTGAGCAGAGAGCCCGATGTGGGGCTCGACCCCAGAACCCTGAGATCATGACCTGGGCCGAAGGCAGAGGCCTAACCCACTGAGCCACCCAGGCGCCCCTGTTTCCTGGTATTTTTAAATTACCACATGAAGCAAGTTCATCATGTACAGGACAAACAAAACACATCTGGTGGCCAAACCCACCCATTGGCTTGCAGCTTGCGACTTCCGAGTTGGCCATAGAGTGGGAGCTCGGTGACAGGAGAAGGAGACGTTTTATTAGGTCAGGAACCTGCATTCTGGGAGTCAAGGAGGAGAATAATTAGGTGCACTTACAAATCCCCAGGTCATCGCAGCAGTCAAATACGCCGGTTTGCCAGTCACTGTTCATCACACCCCCCGTGCCGTATCCAGGCTGCGAAACAATTGGATTCATTTTTAAGGTGAGTCCCAGAGGGCACTGCCTGTGAAAACAAAACCAAAAAAGTGTGAGACGCCTACCTGTTCTGGTAGGAGATCATGATCCCAGCTGAGCAGACTCCTCATCACACCCTTCCTGATCACGGTGGCCGCCCTCGACTGACTCAGCAAGACGTTTCTAGACTATCGTCTGTACTCGGTAATGAGAGACGTCTCGGACACGGAGTGGGGGTTCCTTCCACAGGTTTTCTGGGGGTTTTATTGCCCCTTCCTCTGATCCTTTTTATCAGCAAGATGATTTTTTTCCTTCTATTTCAAGACAACCTTCTTAAACAAAGTCTTTTTTGCACACGCAGTGTTCTATTTAATAGTGATTGTAATAACTTTTACAACGCTATTACACAGGCATTACCTCAATTGTCCCTCAATCGAACCTTGTGAGACAGAGTTCTTTACTTGTGCAAGAAAGTTCTCATTACACCAATGCTTCTAGATAACGCCAGTCCTCACTGCATAATTGCTAGTCGTATCCTGATAGCTGGAGTTTTAACAGATGTCCTTGGTTACTTTAAAAAAAGCCAAAAAACACCAAAAACCAATTAACTTCTTTTTGTGAAATCATCAGGCCAGAATCTTGGGGGGGACAAAAGGGCCGGGGGCTGGACTTCAAGCTTCCACAGAAAAATCCAATAGTGGCAAAACCACTAAAAACAGTGTCCCTCGAACAAAGTGGTGCCTATATGCGTCTCAGATTTCATCCAGCGATCAAGCGAAGTCTCCTGGGCTCTACCCAGTCGGGACTCCCAAGGAAGAGAATGTATCTGGTTTCACAACGGCTAATGTAAAACTTTCTTCTTCACTACTTCACATCTAACCCTACACCATGCTCTGTAGCCCTCGCCCCGGCTCGCCTCTCACACTCCCCTTAGCCAGGTGCAAGGACGTCCGGCCCCATTATCCATCCCCTCTCCTCCCTGTCGCCGGGAAGGCCCCGGTCGAAGATGTTCCCAGAGCACATCTCAGTCTTGACTGTGCACTAGGCTGCCTAGTGCACGGTTGAAAACACAGTTACTTGATTCCGACTCAGCAGCTGGGGTGGACCCTCGGTAAGTAAAAGTTCTTGTGACGCAGACAGTTCTGGGGACAGTGAGCACAGGTCATTTCAGTCTTGCTCAGCCCTTCCCGGCCGGTCTTCTTAGCTCTCCCCCTGCCCTGCTCTTTCTCCGGATGGATTTTGTCTCCACTGAGATCGTGGCTGTGATCACTTGGTTCCCCACCAGATGAGTCCCCACAAAAGGGGTGGAGGTGTTCTGGAACAATAAGAGCCAGGGCACTCCGACCACCCTCGAAGGCTGCCTCTAGCATTTATCATCAAGCATCTGCTTTACGACACGGAGGGAAAACCAGCCGACCGAGAAGGCTCTGTGATTACTGTCACCTCGCGCCAGGAACTATGGTTGAAACTCTACAGCTGGGTAAACATTTCGTTGGAGTCCAAACTTTCTCCTCTCTGATGATTTAGGAGGACTGCGATAGCTTTCTTACTCTCATGTAATCATAGTGGGCACATGATGTGAATTCGATCTACTATCTGCGGAATAGTTACAGAAGTTGAATAAATTGCATAGGTAATATGTTGTTCAACACTGAATGTTAGAGATACACTTTTGGCCTCAAGGATGAATGACCCAATACCTTCAAAATACGTACTGGGAAAAGCATGACACAAAAGGTACACATAGCTGTTGCTGCTACGGGTATGTCATTCAAGAAAAAAAATATGCCAGTAAGGCTGTATTCTTAATAGAAAAGTACTTCTTGCAAGAATCAATGCTTCGGATGAAAAGAGTCACACAACCAAACCAATCAGTCTAGCCAACGTATCGAAACGGAAAACTATGTGAAAGTTCAAGACCCTAATCCTAACAATTGTTCCCGGGCAGAGACTTTATCTCAATGATTCTTCCAGCGCTTCCTTGCCCTTTGTGCAGCCCTGGGAACGTCTACTTGCTGTGGTCAGTAGTTTATAGTAAGTGTACAGTTGGCTGTGTTTGCTGTAAAAACAAAATGCCAGGGAGCAGGGGCACCTGGGGGGCTCAGTGGGTTGGGCCTCTGCCTTCAGCTCAGGTCATGATCCCAGGGTGCTGGGATCGAGCCCCGCATTGGGCTCACTGCTCGATGGGAAGCCTCTCCCTCTGCTTGTCACTCCCTCTGCTTGTGGTCTCTCTCTCTGTCAAGTAAACAAATAAATCTGTTAAAAAAAACAGCTGGAGAATCAGTCCGATAGGGACCCTGAAACAGGCATCTGTTGTGATTGTCCCAGCCACAAGTCACACTGACCCTAGATTGTACTGTGTGTTAATTCAATTAACTTAATTCCTAATCTAACACAGGGACTCCTGCCGCTTGTTTTGCAACCTCTGAATTCCCTTCCTTGAAGTAAGGTGTTAGAAGTACATTTTAAAAACACTCTGTACTGTATGCGTGTGTGCATGTGTTGTAGGTCTATCCATAGGTTTTGCGCTTCTCTATGTGGCTGGATGTACACTAAGCAGCGGTGGTTCTTACGTTACACTATGAACAGGACTCACTTAGGATCCTTTTAGCGTGTGGAACCTAATTCGGTGGGTCCAGAATGGAACCTGAGGCTTGCTTTTTTTTTTTTTTTTAAGATTTTATTTATTTATTTGGCAGACAGAGATCACAAGTAGGCAGAGAGGCAGGCAGAGAGAGGAAGGGAAGCAGGCTCCCCGCTGAGCAGAGAGCCCGATGCAGGGCTCGATCCCAGGACCCTGGGATCACGACCTGAGCCGAAGACAGAGGCTTTGACCCACTGAGCCACCCAGGTGCCCCCTGAGGCTTGCTTTTTTAACAAACTCTGTGGGTGTGCCAGTTCTGCTAGTATCTGGCCCACATTTTGACTCCTCAGGGTCTAGATTGTGATTAGGAACTGAGTTCCAATCTGTTTTCCATTGCTGTGTGTTCTTGGACAAATAAGCTAACTTCTCTGTGCCTCAGTTTTGACAACTTTAAAATGAGTGCAGTAGCATTCTTCTCATGGTTTGTTGTGTTACTGTGATGAGAGTAGATCGGCAGACCATGTCTGCTCAACACTGTTTCTTGTATGTCCGTGAGCTGACATAGGCACCCCTGTGTCTATTTGAGACTAAATGTCGTTACGTAGCGGGTCCTGTGACTGATTCATAGTGCGGGGCCATGCCTGGAATCACAGCTCCCGAAAGCTAACACAGCGGTGCTGCGGTGTGCAATGGGTGTGGATCTGAAAGCTTGGACTGACGTCATTGCTTTATTTGGCAAGACCCAGTAAGATCCCATTACGTGAAGACAGTTTGAAATCTGCCAATCTGGAGCTCAGTCATGAAGCATCTGCCTTCAGCTCAGGTCACGATCCCAGGGTCCTGGGATCAATCCCTGCGTCGGGCTCCCTGCTCAGCGGGAGCCTGCTTCTCCCTCTCCCACTCCCCCTGCTTGTGTTCCCTCCCTTGCTGTGTCTCTTTCTGTCAAATAAATAAATAAAATCTTTAAAAGAAAAAAGAAAACTGCCAATCACCGTATATGTGGAAGAGAGAGTCTACAGAGTTTCTAAGTGCCAGGAAAGCAGATGGAAAACCTGAGTGTGAGTTGCCGACATGACAGTGGCTCACACTTGCAAGGAGCATTCTACTTTCCAAACGTGTTCCCATCTGAGCTCTGGCTAATGCCGATCTCTTTCATGTTCCCAGCAGACTGCAGCATGTGGGGAAAGAAGGCTGATAAGATGCTTCCTATTGCACACACGGGAACTGAGGCAAAGAGTGACATGCCAGGGCCAAGGAAAAGTCATGATCGCTAGTCCAACATCCTTAATTTATAATAAGGACATGAGGACGAAGACTGAGTATTGCCCTGCACCCTCTTCCCAGTCTCATCAGGGGGGAAAATTTTATATATATATTTATATATATATTTATAAAATTTATATATATACTTTATATATATATATAATATATATAAATTTTATATATATATATGACATTATAAAACCTGAAGATAAAAAAGTGGACCAGGCAGCATGATCCAGTGGTTTCCATTATCGACACTGGCCACAGACTCCCAGCTTTCCAGTCACTAGCTAATGAATGACCCTGTGACTCAGTGTCCTCATCTGTGAAATGGGGATATGCGCAATGGTAGCTTATAAAGCAGTCAGGGTCATTGAATAATATTTGAATGATTTGAGTGATTAGAGGGATGTCTGGCATGGGGTAAATTCTTCACGAGCAGCAGTTACATAAAAGAGAATACTTGCCCCTTGAGGGAAATTGGTAAAATTCCCGCCCTTCCCTCACACGCTCCCATACACTGTGGAACACGGGCACGTCTTCCACAAGGCCGCAGAGGAAGGGGAAAGAAACAGAAAGTAAGTCACATGTCCAGGGAGACAGAGTGGCAGGGCTGGGATTTGAATTCAGTTCTTGGGGCTCCAAAGCTCTTAAGCGTGTTTCCGCGGAGTCTGTCCATCTGGGATTATGAATCCTGGCCAGCTAGAGTGGGCAGACCTGTTCGGGAAGGAAAGTCAACACTTCTTAGGGTGTCCCTTCCCAGGCAAATTTTGAAAGTGTAGAGAGGTGGACAGTTTGAGACTGACTTCGCTTTCCTAAGTCCGCCTGTCAGTCCGCATGTGTGTGCTTGTGTGTGTTTATCTAGGTATGTATGTTCAGTGTCTTGAACCCAGACACTCAAAATTTCCTCTAGAGTTCCACCATGCGTGTTCAGGTAACTGGTTCACAACCAGGATTGCTTTGCACCCTGCCCCAGGGGACATTTGGCAATGCTTTGAGATATTTTTGGTTGTCCCAACTGGGGGTGAGGTGCTATGGTCATTCTAGTGGGTGAAGGCCAGAGATGTTGCTAGACAATCTGCAAAGCACAGGACAGCCCCCACAACAACTAATGTTCTATCTCCACATGCCAACAACAGTGCTGCGATGAGAAACCGTGGTTCAAAAACATCAAGGGCACCAGGAAGCCTGAGCTTC